AGAGAGAGAGAGAGAGAGAGAGAAACACCGATGTTAGAGAGACACACCAAATCACTTGCCTCCCACAGACAGCCAGTTGCCCTGGCTGGTGTGGCTCAGTTGGTGGAGCATTGACCTGTGCACCAGGAGGTTGCCGGTTTGATTGCCAGTCAAGGGCACATGCCTGGGTTTTGGACTCAGTCCCCAGTAGGGGACGTGCAGGAGGCAGCCACTCGATGTTGTGTTCTGATATCAATGTTTCTCTCTCTCCCCTTCTCCCTTCCTCTCTGTCTAAAAACCAATAAACTATTCTTTAAAAAAATTACTGTGGCACACCAGTTGAAAATCACTGACTTAGCATAATGTCCTCAGTTCATTCATGTTTGTGGTGTGTGACAGGATTTTCTTTTTTTAAAGCTATTCAGCTTTTTATTTCCTTAAGATACATTTCTAAAACTTGAATTATTGACTGAAAGTGTAAACACACATGGTTTTTGGAATATAATGCCAAATTGTCCTTTAGAAAAGTTAAGCCACTTTGCACCCCAACCAACATTGTATTAGCGCACCCATTTTTCTTTTAACCTAACTTGGTCTGTCCTTTTAATTCTTAGCAGAGCCTAGACATTGTAATTCAAGGTTCATTGTCATGTAGATTAAATTTCCCCCCCATTCTTTTCAGAGGGAACCCCTTACCTAGAATCTGGAGTCAGCCTCTTCTCTGACGACCCAGAGTCTGATCCCTCTGAAGACAGAGCCCCAGAGCCAGCTCATGTTTGCAGCATGCCAACTTCAACCTCTGCATTGAAATTACCCCAATTTCAAGTGGGAGAATCTGCCAAGAGTCTAGCTGCTGCTCAGACTACTACTGCTGGGTATAATGTGAGGGAAGAAAGTGTGAGCGGAATGAAGCCAGAAGTGATATCTTCAACAAAAACAGTCAACAGAAGAATATCTATGGTGGCCTCAGGCTTGACCACAAAAGAATTTGTAAGTGTATCCATATGTATCTCCCTAAAGACTGAGACTTCATTTACATACTATAATAGTTTTAAATAGGTACTAGCGATAAATAACTTATAGGAAGAAATCTAGGAAATGGCACAATTCTATGTAATTTAATTTTCATTACTAATTTCTGAAATTTTGGACCTAGGTAAAACTAAAGCATGGATTATTTTGTATAAATTTACTTAAGAATAATTTTTAGCCTGGTTGGGTAGCTCAGCTGGTTAGAGCGTTGTCCTGATAGGCCAAGGTTGTCGGTTCGATCCCTGGTCATGACACACGCAAGAAGCAACCAATGAAATCAATGTTTTTCTCTCTCAAATCAATTTAAAATTTTTTCAAAAAAAGAAAATTTTATTAGAGAGATTATGGTTTTGGGTATGATATAGAGCTTATTTTACTTTAATTTTATTTAAGCAAGTAAGTGTAGCTCTACTCCCCAGAAGGCATCTTTCCCCTACCTTGGTTCACGTCAGAGAATGCACCAGCATAATTAACTAAATTCAAATTGGTTCCAAGCACACTGCCAGATAATGGCATTTATCCAGTGTTTATTTGCCTTTATCCTGGCTTGTGACAGTTATTCAATAACCTGCCCTATCATTTCTGCTCTACAACAGCCCTCCTCCCTATTAGGATTTTGACATCTCCTTGGGCTCCTCATGCCAGAGACAGGAATTGTTTCACACTATGGAAAAATACCCATTAAAATATTAAGACCCCTGAAACATCATTTCTGCTTAGGCTGAGTGTAGATTTCAGACATCTTAGGAAATTTACCTCATGTGTAATTAATCACCATTGGTATCATTTCATAATAAGATAATAATTGAGTGAATATATCTTAAAAGACCGTGATAAGATAACACACCAGAGTATCAAATGGATTCAATAGTGGGTGTAATTTATTACACACTGAGAGATGACCCAGTCTTTCTTAAGTGTCTTTTTTAATATACCCTTCCTAGATTAAGAACCATTTCTCATCTAAGTTCTCTCTGGGTAGCAGCTCAGCATAACATTCTCTGTGGCCAGATGTGTCCCACTACTAAAAGGGCAAAGTAAGCTATGTCTGCCCTAGAAGATGCAATGAATAAATCCATTCATTGAAAATTAGCATTTCTTGCTCTGGCTGGTTTGGCTCAGTGGTTAGAGCATAGGCCTGAGGACTGAAGGTTCCCAGGTCTGATCCTGGCCAAGGACATGTACCTCAGTTGCAGGCTCGATCCCCACCCCCAGTTGGGGTGCGTGCAGGAGGCAACCAATTGATATGCCTCTCTCACGTCCATGTTTCTCTCTCTCCCTTTCCCTTCCACTCTCTGAAAAGCAACTGAAAAAATATTCTTAGGTGAAGATTAAAAGAAAGAAAGAAAATTAGCATTTCATGTTTTGAAGTTCAGCTTTTCAGAGAAGGCTAAAATGATCTAATCTTTCTTGCCATGGGCAATTCTGACCTACAGATTAGACTATAAGTGGCTTGGGTACATATTGTCTTTAAATAAGCAAAGAGGAAAACTTTTCAGCTCTATTCAGATTTGAAGTGTGGTAAATTTATTATAAAAGCTCCTGACTGTATTACACATGATTAATTTTGAAACCCATATTAAGATGATCTTTTCAGCAGTTGCTCTTCTAACTGAACAGTGTTCAAGGTTGGGATTTCAGCAATTAATCAGTTCAGAATTGCTAATGATCCTGGCAGAGGGCAGTGGCAAAGGGGGGGAGGATGTCATTAGCTTCTCTAGCCTGCCTTTTTAGTGCACTGTGGCAGTATGGAATGAGGCAGCGTGAAAGAAGGATGGCCTGATCTCCATTGCAGTATTGTGCAGCACATAAATATTGGCATGGGCAGTGATGATTAATAAGTGATGGCTCTTTGTAAACAGAGTTATTTACCAAACAGCTACTAATTATGTCAACTGTGTCCATAATGGATCTGGTTAATTTCTTTTACTGCCTATTGATTTTTATTTGATTTTTAGATAATAGCTAGAAGGCTCTAGATTTCTTTTGGGAATAATATGAGTCTCTTCCAGTCCTTCTCCTTAAGAGGAATTGATGGTTTTTGCACTCTTGAATGTTTTGTAGTTATCAGAATGTTGCATCTTGTTTGTTTGACTTTTGTTTGCACCTGAAATTATGCTTAGAGAGAGAGAGAGAGAAACATCAATTGGTTGCCTTCCGTATATGCCCCAACCGGGGATTGAACCCACAACCCAGGTATGTGCCCTGACCAGGAATCAAACCAGCAATCTTTTGGTGCACAGGTCACTCAACCAACTGATCCTCTCCAGCCAGGTGCATCTTGTTTTTAAGCCACATATCTGTAACATAACTTTCTGTGTAGGCTAATTACCTCTCAGCTTATATAGTGTAGGCTGATAAATCTGTATTATAGTACAGTAGAGTAGCACTCTGCAAAGAACTAGATGTCTTAGGGAATTCAATGATATCTGCTATTAAAGGGAAAATAAATAATTATTTTGAATCCTTGGTTATAGTTCATGTTTCATGATAGTTCATGTTTCCTAACATGAACTACTTTAGAATTTCTTCCTCTGATTCATACATATTTTGTATTAAATTGAGACTTCAGACATGTCAGAATAAAAAGAATGTACCTTTTCTGTGAAGAGAAAGATGGAGATTCAGAGCTAGGATAACTAATGCTCTAAGCTGTGCACTAGAGGTAATTTATAATAATATATGATTTGATTTCAGATGCATGTGCACAAGTTTGCCAGAAAATACCACATCACTTTAACTGATCTAATTACTGAAGAGACTACTCATGTCATTATGAAAACAGGTATACCAAGAACCTTTATAGAATGTGTTGCATCTGTTGCAGAGAACTACATGAAGAAATGGGAGTATTTGTTAAGCATTGCATGGGTGAAAGTCTTCCAGTAGGTGATCAACTATTGTTTTGTGAAAGAAAATTAACAGCTTTGCTACTTCCTAACCCTGTTTTGTTTTGGGTTAAGATTTGGAGAGTGATGCGCCACTTGTACTAGTCCACCCTGCCCTGACTGCTCTGTGTGAAGGGCTTTCTGGTAAGACAGAGCTCAGATCCTGGAGGAGCAAGTAGGGCAAAGAAGAGAATGGGACGGAAGTGAGTCTTTATTCAAAATCTGTGTGGTTGGAAACCCTAACTCCATTCCATGTCCTTGCTCCACACAAACACTAGTTTGAGTGTAGTGTTGAGCGTTTTTCAGGATATAAGTCTGATGTCAGCTCTGAGATAGCCTAGCATATGAAAAAGGAAAAACAGAAGGGGAAAATTCATTTGTCCTACACCTTGCCCTTTTTAAATCTTAATTATGACTCCCAAGATAACAGAGACTTCAGAGGCTTTTAGTTGACTGTAAGCTAAATCTGAGTAGACATTTCAGACTCATTTGAAGTTGGACCTCAGTAATGCAAACCTAATGTCTGGAACAAGTAAAGTAAAAATCCTGCCCTGGCCGGTTTGGTTCCGTGCTTACAGCCAAGGGTCCCGGTTTGATTCTGGCCAAGGGCATGTAACTCCGCCCCAGTCTGGTTGTGAGCAAGAGGCAACCAGTCAATGTTTCTCTCTCTCCCTCCCTTCTACTCTCTCTGAAAAAGCAATGGGGAAAAAATATCCTCAGATGAGGATTTAAAAAAAAAATCCTGACACCCCCCGAACACCACCACCACAGCATTCTCTGCTGGAATGCCTGGAAGATATGGGCTCTGTTTTGGGCACTATGCTTTTTGAGCTGGTCACTAACACGTTAGAGAGTGTTTATCCCGAGGTAGATGATGAAGAAAAAGGAATTCAGAAGAACGTCATCTGAAGAACAGATAAAGGAATGAGAAGACTTAAGAGAACAAGACCACTCTCTTTAAATATTTGAAGAGTTATTATCTGGAAGAGAAGTTAGATGTTCTCATTGGCTCTAGGAAGCAGAGACCAGTGCATGCAGTTCTTAAAACCTTTCTAACAAAATTGACTCTGAGGAAATACAATGATCCACTCTGTTCATATCACTGCAGGTCCTTGAGTACAGGGTCCAGACTCCTTGGCAGAAGCACATTGCCTTAGAATTTCTAAGATGTTAACTTATACTGTATACATGTCATACAACAGGGTCAGAGGATAATACTCACAGGAACCAGGTGCCAGAACAAGTTACCTCGAAACGTACTATTTTAGAGTTGGAGGTCATTAAAGTTTAATATATCTTAAACTGTAGGTTTGGATCAAAGCTACTGGAAGGTGAAAATAAAACTTTAAAATGTAAATTAAATCTAAAGTAATTAGTCTTTAAACTTAAAGGCAATAAAACTTTTGAACTAAAAATGAGCTAACATTTCTATGTTTAAAGCATATTATTAAATCAGCTTTCATAGCAGTTAAACAAAAAGCTATAAAACTGTGATGAAAGAAAAAAGATTGTAATAATTTGTGAAGAATTCTGTGAGAGAGAATGGCTGTTGCTACTATTGGCAAATGGACTGCTGTGTTTACGATTTAGTTAAATACATTTATTTCCTCAGTTTGCTTAGTTCTTCAGAAAGGTTTTTGAAACACTAGGAAATAAACAGAAGCGATTCTTCAGCTACTGCTTTCTGAAATACTTATGTAGAGGGGAGAAAAGCATTGAAAATACTCTGTATTTTTCTGTCCTTCTCAGGGGAATTAGGAATTAGGAGGTTAGGATTCCCCAGGTAGAAGTCGGGGGGTGAAAATTTGTCACTTACATTGACATTTCAGACATAGGATTTCAACAATTCTGTTTTCTTTTCCTTCCACATATTGCCATTCAGTAAAACAGATCTTACCCATCCACATGTTTCAGTACTACTGGTGTAGATAATTCCCTGAACATACTGATGGAGGTCTGTAGCTAGTCTTGGCTTCTAGAAGAAAGGGCAGGCATATCCTGTGGTTTTAACTTCATGTCAGCCTTTTCCAACTTCCAAAGATCCACCCATGCTGGTTATAATTAGGGGTGCTTCCAGCCTCTGATTCTATCACCAGGGTATTGGAATAATCGATCCAGATTGAGTTCAAATAGCATATGGAGCTGGAGCTCTTTAGCTTGTTAGAGCAGCACTTCCTGACTTTGTTTTCAACCTCTACTAATCCTTCGGATATTTTTCATTCTGCAGATGCTGAGTTTGTATGTGAACGGACACTGAAGTATTTTCTGGGAATTGCAGGAGGAAAATGGGTAGTTAGCTATTTCTGTAAGTGCATTTATCCCTCTCTCCCTTTAACACTTCAGAATTACATTTTTACACCTAACATCTTAGCACCTAAGGTTTTTTGCTGATGGTGAATCTGGATTACCAAAAGGTCTTTAATGATAATGCTAAACTAGCTTTATCTTTAATGCATATGTCTTTGTTCAGATAAGCTGGTGATGTTGGGAAAATGGATTACTTTTTATAACTAATAGGACCTAATTTGCTTCTAGCAATGTTAGCACATGAACTAGGGATTTCTTTAATAGTAGGCAGAAGTTCATGTGCAGCAAGCACTGTTATAATGTTTGGTTTATGCATCAACTGTGTCTCCAGAAAGAAATCGCTACTACAAGTCTTATTAAGGAACTGTGGCTTTATTGAGAGGGGACTTCAGCTCAGTGCTGTTCCTCCCAGGTTCTTACATGAATTGCTTCACTATCCACGTCCATGAAAAGAGCGTGTTCTTCTGCATTGTGACCTGTCTTTTCTGTAATCTCTTTAGGGGTGACCCAGTCTATTAAAGAAAGAAAAATTCTAGATGAGGTAGGTACTCGATGTTACAAATTAATCAGAAAGACTTGATTCCATTTAGTCACATAATCACTGCAAATTTAGCTGCTTCCTTCCTTGCACCACTTTTCACTTCCTTGCATCACTTTTCTTTGATGATGGGGATCATCAAGAGTTATGCAGAGCAAACCCAGAAATTCTGTGTCCTCACTCACTTGTTCTAAATTTCAATAGAAACAATCCTTTCCTTGGAAGAAGGAAAAGGAATTTGTAAAGCAGAAAAAAGATTCATAAGCAAAAGAAATAAGCCCACCTAAATCTATATACATAGACCTTGCTCGATAGAGAACTGTTTGTTCACTGCTGTTGAAGAAAAATCCTTCATATTAATATGCAAATGTATTTGTTTAGAAATCAGATTCCTTCAAAGAGATGTTACTCTTTATGATACTGAGAACAGTGAGAGGTAAATAAGGTGGGTGTAGGAGGAGAAATAATTTTAGAACAGAGCCATCTAAGAGCTCCTGGTGACAACAAACAGATTAGGGAAAATAAAACTAGCAAAAATCGTTTTAAACTATTATATACTATTCAGTATATTCATAATTAAGTGATATTTTTGTTGGTTTTAACTTTCATTCAGTGGCTTATATTATTGGGAGCCTACTATGTGCTAGGTACCAGGAATACAGCAGTAAACAAGACTGACAGGTCCATGCTCTGGTCAGATTCTTGTTCTGTTAAGGGAAAATACACAGTAATAAAGATCATTTAAAATACCAATAAATACTATGAACAGCAGGTTAGTAATTGACCAGAGACAGAGATTGACTACTTTAGTTAAGGGGACCAGGGATGGCTTCTGAAATGCTTGAACTGAAACCTAAAACACAAGAAAGAGTTGGCCTTGGAAAATGTAGGTAACAAGTTTTATAGGCAGAAGAACAGCAAGCATGAGGGTCATGAGATAGGAATGAGCTTGTTTTTTAAAGAAAAATAGACTAGTGTAGCTGAAGGGTAGTAACTGGTGAGTAATATGTAGGGAGCAGAGGTTAGACAAGGGGTTAGATGTGTAAATTTGGAGATTTATACTAGACATCCAGGTAGAGAAGTTAAGTAGGAGCAGGGGTACAATCAGGCCTATAAATTTAAGAGTCATTTCCAAATAGATGACATTTATCCTTAGACTCTTCTCATTCAAGCGACAAGGAAGTATTAAGTGGTCTTTCCCCTAATATTAGCCTGTGGTTATACTATCATGACTTTGTTTTATTTTATAATACTCTTGGGAATAGATAGGATCTTCCCCTATAATCTGAGTTTTAGTCAGAATTGTTTCTAAGCATTCTTCCTCTAATTTCTCCCCAAAGTCCTAACCTCCCCAATCCCATTGCTCTCATCCTTAACCACTGAAAATAGTGATATGAAAAACTGTTTTCTTCAGTGTATGAAGTGTCTATTTTATCATTTGGCTTTATTAACTAAATCTCTCAGTGAAAATCTAAAAAGCCCTTAGATGGTAATACGCAATTGATTTAAGAGATCAGGAATTCTCCTGTTATCTTTATAACAGCACAGTATTAGCAGTTTAATCTAAATGCTAAGTGAATGTTTTGAGAGGAGATAGATGTTGAAAATTAAAATACATTAAGTCCCAGTGAGGTGAAAAGCCAATTGTTAATTTCTGCCCACAAAGATTTGCTTCAAGGAATTGATTTCAGCAGCTGAGATACTGGTTGTTTCATCCAGTCCACCAAAAAGAATGATTTGAGGGGAGCGGTCAAAACATTGACTGGCAATACTCAGTTCCTCAAATATGATGCATCTACTCTGCTTCCATTGAGGGAGGCTTCTTCTCTTTCTCTGATCCCTGTGGTTTGCCTTTGGTTTCTTTCAGCATGATTTTGAAGTCAGAGGAGATGTTATCAATGGAAGGAACCACCAAGGTCCAAAGCGAGCAAGAGAATCCCAGGACAGAAAGGTAAAGCCCTCCTCCCCCATGAAAACCCCACCACCCTCTGCACTCCAGCCCCCTTAGTTCAACTTTTAAGGTGCTTCCATATATGGTTATTTTTTTAGTTCTAGTCCAACAAGGTAAATAAGTATTATATCCATTTAAAGAATGAGGGGACTTAGAGGTTTAGAGAAGCAGTGTTATTTGGTACAGCCTGGGATTCAAATCTCAGCTGCTAAGTGGCAGAGCTGGGATTTGAAACATATGAATCTAAGCCTTTGCTCTTTCCACTTAACCATAGTGTGTTGCTCTAAACCAGTGTGTTGAGTGCTGTAAAGGGGATGTGTGCAGTGCTGTCTGTGGATGCATAGAAGAGAAAGTGATTGATAATCAATAGCTAACGTCTATACAATGTTCACTATATGCCAGTTCTAAATATGCGCCCGGCCGGGCATGGCTCAGCGGCTGAGCGTCGACCTAGGATCCAGGTGATCGGGGTTCGATTCCCAGTCAGGGCACATGCCCAGGTTTCGGGCTCGATCCCCAGCAGGGGGCCTGTGGGAGGCAGCCGATCAATGATTTTCTCTCATCATTGATGTTTCTATCTCTCTCTCTCCCTCTCCTTTCCTCTCTCTCTGAAATCAATAAAGATATATTTTAAATAAATAAATATGCAATCATGTTTTAACTGATTAATAATTTTATAGTAACCCTATGAGACATGTACAATAATTGTGTCTATTTTATAGATGAGAAAATTGAGTCTCAATGAGGTGAAGTAAGTTGTTCAAACTCACACAGCTAGTGGTGAACCCACAACTAGAAGTTGAACCCAGGTAGTCTAGCTCTAGAATCTGAACTCTTTTTTTTATTGATTGATTGATTTTATAGAGAGATGAAGAGAGAGAGAGAAACATCGATTTGTTGTTCCATTCATTTATGCATTCATTGATTGATTCTTGTATGTGCCCTGACCGGGGATCGAACCAGCAACCTTAGCATACTGGGACAGTGCTCTAACCAACTGAGCTACCTGGCCAGAGCCTGGAATCTGAGCTCTTAATGACAATATTATAGTTTCTTAAAAAATTACAGGTTTCACCGAGGAGAAAAATCGATTACTCTAACATCTTTGAAAATGAAGGACTAGACGCCCAGGAACACTCAGTGACATTCCCCAGATCATCCTGTAGCAAATGATGTAGCCAAAAACCATGTCCTCTCGGGAAGGAGTCCATACCTGCCTGTCAGGCCTGAGCCAGCAGCTTTCTCAGGTCCCTGACTGAGTGCTTATGTTCCCAGTCTTCATCTCTTCCTCTTTCAAGTGTGCACCACCAGGCATTTTGGAACATCCCCACAAGGAGCACCTTCTGTCCCTTTACAGAACTGGAGGGCGAACCAATAGAGGTGATTTTCCAAGGAAAACTGCTTTGGGAGATGATCACAAATCAAGCCCTGGAGCTCTGAATTCCTGGGGTCAGCCCACCCTCACCTTCTTAACCTATCAAGTAACTTCCAGATGCCAAGAAAAGCTTCTGACCCTGTTTCTGTTTCTGTCTTCACCCCAGGGGAGCTCTGTGAGCCAGCCCTTTTTTCTTCTTTTTTTTCCAAATTAAAAGAGAAAGTTTATTTAGAAAGTTACAGAGGTAGTAGAAGTGAGCCAGCTGGGCTGTGTAGACTAAGAAAACAAGTTACTGAAGCAAAACAAGGGCCCTTGTAGCTTAGGAGAGAGAAAGGCTAAGGTAACTCGCCTGGAGGGAAGAAGAGGGGTAAGGGAAAGGCGAGGGCATGCTCCCAAGAGGGAGGGCCCCAGCCTTTTTTTTTTATTCCACTGTATACAAGGCAGAACTAGCACCAGATTTTTTCCTCTTTCAAAGGAAATTTCAGTGTTTTGGGTTTTTCCCCCTGCATTTGGGGTGGCAATGATGGTCAAAGTAATGACATTCTGAAGATACAAAATATCACCATAGTATTTCCTGTGGAAGAGAAATGTATTTGTAGAGGTGAAACTTCAGATTTCTTATCTCATAACTAGACATCCTCCTCAGTGAGTACCAGCCTGGATGGAAAAAGTTCTAATCTTTTGTACTTTTTACAGCAACATTTGGCTCCAGCTGGCTGCCCTGGGAAAACTTTTAACATTATGAGCATCTAGGTCCTGTGAACAGGATGGGGATTCAGTTTATGCACACAGTGAGAATGGCACAGATGTAGATTGCCACTTAAAACAGAAACAGATTTGTCTTGTTGTCTTTTCTCATTTCTCTGGTTGTAGTTAAAACGGGGGAGGGGCATTTCCTAAAAGGTAGTCATGTGCTTTTAGCTTCCTGATTTTTCTCTACCCTAGTCTTATATTTTAAATGAGGTGAGTTCTAGGCCTAGGCAGTTTTCTTTTTAGTGGAAAGGGGAGAAGAAGACAGGATGGCACAGCTTAAATTCCTTCTTTTAAATGATACCCAAGTCCTTCCCTAAGAACCAGTGCCAGTGCTTGTGTAAGAATTTGCCTTTCTAGCACAGCACCAGCCACATGGGGCTGCTTAAATTGTAAATAACTAAAATTAAATAAAATACTAAGTTTAGTTTCTCCCTCAGCCCAACCACATTTTAGGGGCTCAGTAGCTCCTTATTAATACAAATATAGAACATTTCCCATCATCACAGAAAGTTCTTCTGTATAGTGCTATCGAACACTAAGTGAAAGAGGCCCTGAGGAGGGGCAGTGTGATCTGTGTCTCCTGGAAACGGGGCGGTCAGCTTGGCTCAGCGAGGAGAGGCAGCACCATGCGTCACTTCATTTCCTGCAGGAACAGTGGGCATTCTCAGAGCAGTGCGAGGGCAGGAGCAGATGCTTGGAGACCAGAAGAAAGGCGGAAAGGAGCATGTACATATAAAATAAACGTAGACCTCTCTGCCAACTAGGGTCTTGGTTAGTACTGATGTACCATGTTTGGATAAACATCAAAAATCAACTAAATAGCTGAATTTCTTGCCATTAAACAAAAGAAGGATTTTCCCCCCTCATCTCTAACAAGGACTGAGCCCTGGCCAGTTTGGCTCAGTGGTTAAACATTGGCCTGTGGACTGAAGGGTCCCAGGTTTGATTCTGCACGTACCTCGTTTGCAGGCTGGACCTCCGGACCCAAGCGGGGCTGCATGTGGGAGGCAACCAATCAATGTGTCTCTCTCACATCGATGTTTCTCTCTCTCTCTCCCCTTCCACTCTCTCTGAAAAGCAATGGAAAAAATATCCTCAGGTGAGGATTAAAAAAAAAAATAGAAGTGAAGTCACCTGGAAAAGGTCATCCAGGGAGGAGCCTGGGCGTGATTGGTGGGGCAAGGTGGGATGACAAAGTATGACTATAGAGTAGATCAACTGCATACACGCTTCAGAAGTGTCTTCTAAAATCCACCAGTGTTCTGGACATTGGACTGATTGTCTCCGGGAAGTAGCAGCAGAAATCATCAGGTGGTAAAGAAAAAAGAAAGTTCTTAATTTGTGAGAGTCTCTTTATGTTGTTTTTTAAATAAAATTCATACTCTTTAACTAGGGTTTTGCTTTTTTCTCTGTCCCTCTGTTCCTCTTTTCTCCCAGATCTTCAAGGGCCTAGAAATCTGTTGCTATGGGCCCTTTACCAATATGGCCACAGGTAAGAGACTGGTGGAACTGCAAAGTCCAGCACCAGCCTTTCCCTTACATAGTGGAGTGTTATAGGAGGGGTCATCTTATGGAGGTTCCTCAGATTGATGAGAAGTTAGTCTGTTTCTCTACCACCTGTCAGACAAAACTGTACTTAATTGTTACCCTATGACAAAAAAACTAGCCCTGTGCCCCTTCTCAAGAGCTAGAAGGCAGTGAAGAATTAACATCTAGGACACAGTATGTTCTGTGTTGAGATGGGGCAGAGCTGCCCTTACTGCCCTTTGGTTTAAGAAAAGGGGAGAAATAAGTTCGGGAGAGAGTTCTGTTCTTACCAAACCATCTTCATTTGATAGTGAAGAAAGCACAGCAGCTGCATAAGCCCTGTAAACCTGGACCCCCCATACAGGCCCAGAGCAGGGGAAGACTTGAGCGTTTTCTAATTAAAGTTGATGCTGAATATGATGTGCTGTTTAAGAGTGCTATGGGGCTCAACTCTGGGTTTGTGCAGTACTGAGGTCCTGGCGTATGTATGGATTTGGCTCATTCTTTTCTAAATGAAGGCTCCCTACTGTTACCTCTATGTCCACTTCTGCCCCAGGGATCAGGTCCCCTTACTTCTCAGACAATGGCCTTAGCATGTGGTCAGGGATAGATGAGTGGCAGCAAGAGAGCCTGGCAAAGTAATTTTGCTTACGTCTTTTTTTATTGGTTATTGATTGAATTTTTATGAAATTTCAACGTGCCACATGTGTATTTCTCAGTGGTTTTGTACTTTGATATAATGAAAACCAGGGCTGTAGCAGGTATCATTTTGGAGGTGAGTCAGTTGACCTCAATATATACTCAAACAGGAACACCTTAGCAATCCCCAGAAATAGATTGATAGAAAAGAGTGCCCAAAGGGGCCCAGAAGCCACCCATTGGTCAGTTCCACTAGTTTTCCAGGTACAAGTACAGTCCACATACAGTCTCTTCTGATTTCTATTCCCCTGAGTGTGATACCAGCTCAGCGTGTTGCCCTTCCCAGCTGATGTGCTGAATCTCTGTCCAGGATGACAAGTGTTTTGGGGTGTGTTTTTTTTGTTTTTTAATTAATTATCTTCCTATCTCTTGACATTTATAGTAATTACCACTGAGTATGCTCAGTGGCTGTGATTATCAATTACCAACACAGAATTAGGCAAGGAGGGAGGGAAGACAGGTTGGTGTTTTTTAACAGTATCTTAGCCAGCAGTTTAGCAAATTAATGGAAATTAGATCTTTTTTTTTTCTTGTGTTTTATTTGAGAGACTATTAAACCTTATCTACCAAGTGGCCTTCTTGGGACTGATAGATAACCAGAGTAGGTAGCATATCAGTGGCAAGTTAACAGAATCCATACCACTCTAGCTTAAGGCCTTTCTGTCCCTTTCAGGTAAGGAGACAGGGACTCCCACTGAGAATCTTGCTGTAAGCCTTTATTCAAAGGTGTATGCAGTAGGGGGCCCAGATTAAATGTGTGGATTACTGTGGTGATTTTCTGTCTGAATGCCTATTTAGATCAACTAGAATGGATGGTGCAGCTTTGTGGGGCTTCTGTGGTAAAGGAACCTTCATCATTCACCCTCGGCAAGGTAAGCATTTAGTGCCCTTCCAGAGGGGAAGGACACAATATTCTATCTGGTGATTGAGCGAGGTGGCACTTATCAGTCCCTGTGAACCGCCCCTCCGCACCCCAGTGTAGCCTGAGAAGCCTCTTCTCCCCAAGCCTTCTCCAACCATGTATCTGTGCCAGAAGACTCCATCTGTAAGGGAGGAGTGAAGACCTAAGAGCTATAGGTATTTAATATACTGAGGAAAGGCTCTTTACCTCTAATCCTTCCTTTATGCTGTGCGCCCCCCCCCCCCTTTGTGTGGTTGCCCCAGAGTAGTCTGCTTCAATACCCCTCCAAGAAATGGTTATGTGACTGTTCCCGAAGTTCTATTCTGATACCTTCAATGTTGTTTCCTTCCTGGGGATGCAGGGTACTCACCCTATTGTGGTCATGCAGCCGGATGCCTGGACAGATGACAGTAGCTTCCATGGTAAGTCTTGCTATAAGCCTTCATCCAGAGAAGTGTGGGATAGAGGGCCCGGTTTAGTGTGCAGATTACTGTGGTGATTTTAGGTCTAAATGTCCTGTTTAGATCAACTGGAATGGATGGTGAACCTGTGTGGGACTTAAGGCCACAGCATGTGCCTGTGTCATATGGAGTCCTGGATGAGTTCGGTTCACCACAGGTTACCCAGTGCTTAATTAACACAGTTCTCAGCACATTTAAGGTGCTCAATAAATATTTGTTGAATGAATGGTTAAAATGTCCTTTTAAAACTTTTTTGTTGATTGTTTATTTTGTATTATAAAAGTCATGCATGAGCTATTTCCATTGGGGGGGGAGGGTTAAATATGAATGTTAATCACATAAAATAAAAAGGAACACAAACAATAAAAGAACTGAAGTAATCCTGCCACTTGGAGATGATCACCATGGAATTCTTCCAGGCATGTGTTGTGTGTGTGTACATGTATTTTACACAGTGTGATCGTGCTCATACTGTTTTGCTTTTTCACTTAAGATACTGCAAATATGTTTTCCCATCATTACACTGCAGTGCTGCTTTGCTCTCTGATGACTTTTCCTTTAACAGACTGGGGCTCATGTTAATAAAGTTTATTAATAAAGTCTGAGTAAGGTCCTATGTCCTAAAGCATTGCTTACAACAACACTTTTGCTCCTTCCTGAGTAACCCTAAGAACTCGTACAGCCACGTCCCTGGAATAGATTGACTGGCGTCTGGACTGGGAAAATGCGAATTGACACTAATCTCTACTTGTGTTCTCTGTCCTCAGTGATTGGGCAGATGTGTGAGGTGCCGGTGGTGACCCGAGAGTGGGTATTGGACAGCGTAGCCCTCTACCAGTGCCAGGAGCTGGACACCTACCTGGTACTCCAGATCCCCGGAGCTGCTGCTGATTCCTGCCAACCATGTGTAGAGCCTGTCTCCACAGGACCCCAAGAATAAGCTTAAAAAATGGCCTTTTTCCATGTCCTGGTAGCTCCTCTTTAGTCCTTCCACTATCCCGGTTACTAAATATTTTATGTACATCAGCCTGAAAACTACTTCTGGTTGTGTAAGGGTCCCTCAAAGATTTTTTGCTTCAAGTCTCCCTTTGAAATCTGCCATGAGCACAAAATTGTGGTAATTTTTCACCTGAAAAGAATTTTAAATGCCACCAGTTGAGCAAGATACTGATTCATTATTTATCAGCCCTATTTATTATACTGGGGCTGTCAGCTTAGAGCTGGTGGCACAGAGTAGCTGGGCTCAGGAGAATAGATGGTTTCCCTGAATTTGTTTCTCTAAAACCCGGTGTTCATAAAGGCCAAGAGTCAAACCCTTAAATGGAAGGTGAGTACTTAGGGATCTGTGATGCAACTTAAAATCAGAACAGTCCTTGGAGAGCTCTCAAATGTTGGAGTGGAGCATTGGGAAGGGAATTCAGAGGCAGGTAATAGATATAAATCTGAAAATTGAGGGTTAATTAGAGGAGTGTCATGCTATCCCTGATCTCCAAAAGTCTGGGCAAGAATTGGTATCCAAAGAGAGTCTTCTGATTCCGTTGGTAATAAATAAAATGTTTATTGTTGTAGATCTGATATGTAACCCATTCCTCTTGAAATATAATATCTCTGATATGAATATTTCATGTCTATAAAATGACGGATCCCACCAGGAAAGGAGCTGTTGCTTTCCTTGAGGTAATTTTTTTCCTTTTGCTCTCTATTGTTGAACTGTACAGCTTCATAAATAATTTTGTTTGCTGGAGGAAGAGAAAGTGTTTTTCATAAACTCATTACCTGGGACTGTTTATAGCTTCTGGAAAGACTATGTCTTCCTTAGCCCCTAGTGTGTGAGGGCAGTGCAGACTTGATTGTACAAAATATGTCTTGTAAATGCACTATTCACCTGCAAATAAACTTGGTAGCAAACACTTCCACATGTATGACTGTTCTTTTTTTTTTTAAATATATCTTTTATTGATTTCAGAGAAAGGAAGGGAGAGGGAGAGAGAGAGATAGAAACATCAATAATGAGAGAATTGTCATTGATCAGCTGCCTCCTACACACCATCCAACTGGGGATCGAACCTGCAACCCAGGCATGTGCCCTGACTGGGGATCCAACTGCCATCTCTTGGATCCTAGGTCGATGCTCAACCACTGAGCCACACCTGGCCGGGCCATATGACTGTTCTTTATGCTCACACCTGCAGACTTCTCAGAGCCTTTTCGCTATACTAGAGGTTCTAGTAGGGGGATGAATCCACTTCCAAGCTCATTTCATGTTGTTGGCCAAATTGTTCCTTGCAGTTGTAGAATCCTTGCTGGCTGTTGGCCAGAGGTCATCCTTAGGTTCCAGAGGCCACCCACACTCCTAGGCTTCTGACCCCCTACTTCCATCTTTGAAACCAGCAATGGCTGGTCAAGTCTCACATTTGGACTCTCTCTGACCTCCTCTTCTGCCTCATGTCTCTTAAACCCTGCCAAAGAATTCTTGTTTTTAAGGGCTCAAGTGATTAGAATGTGCCCACCAGGCAGTCCAGCGTGATCTCCCTGTCTTATGGCCCAGACAGAGCCTTAATGTGAAACCCCTCACAATGGTACCTGGGTTCCTATTTGAACAACCAGGGGACAGAAATATAGGGAGGACATCTTTAGAATTCTGACAGCCACTCCTGTTTAACATACTTAATCCACGGATAATAGTCTATCATTTCTTGGTCTTTATACTGTCATAGGTTGGAATCCTCTTTGAGGCAAAAAATGAAATCCACACAATTCAGTGCTGCCGTATTTGTAAGAAGGTTGAGGGAAGAGTAGAGAAAATGGAACTGACTGCCATTATTATATTTTTATCTCATTCCATCTTCATCACAGGTCTATGAAGTGGGTTGTCACCTCATCTGAAGAATGGGAACTGAAAATAAAAATTTTGCTCAAAAGTTTGTACAGCTAGTAAATGACAACTCAGAAATCTGAACCCATGCCCTTTCTATCCCATCATTCAGCTTCCCATCTACATCAGCCACTGACCCCAGGTCAGAAGGCACCACTTCAAGCCTCAAGGAAATTTGGGGAGAGGAGTGGGTTGGGAGGGGATCTAGCACTCTAGCTTCCTTTATGGGTCATGGTGGGAGGCAGTAGAAGGTTCCTGCCTCCAAATGGCAGCTCTGCCTGAGAAAGCAGCCCTAGGCAAAGGGACTTACAGGATTGGATCATGGCTACTACTATTTCTGCGCCCACCCAGCCTCCCAGCTTATGACTGCTTATCTTTCAGTTGTCAGAGCCTTGCAGTTCAGCCTCACCTACAGCACCACCTCTCAAGGGCCCATGCCAGCTCCTTGTCTACCTGCCAGGGAGTCCGTGGGTCTCAGTAAAGGCAAGCAGGAAGCAAGTGCTGCACACCCAGTCTTTAGTCAAAAGTGTTTTATTTCCAATGACAAGCCATAGCTTACTGGACCCTGGGGATGAGCCAGGGCTCTGAGCCTGCTGCCCCCATCACTGATGGGTTGGTAGAAAAAGCAACATCTACCTAGAACAGCTTGCCTTCCCAGGAATCCTAGGTGAAAGCAGAGATTACTAAAGACATTAAGACATTTCCTGTGATTGTTTCTCAAAGTCTCCCAACAATTGTCCACCCTATCTGTTTTTTGAACTCTGTAACCTTTTCCTGGAAGTCAACTTCTGGCCCAGCCTCATGATCTTTGGCTGGATTTGAGTCTTCTGATGACAGAGTAAATCTACTTGTTCCTTTCACCTCTGGCTTTAAGATGCCCTCCCAGCCCTGCCAGCGTGGCTCAGCGGTTGAGCTTCGACCTATGATCCAGGAAATCTCGGTTCAAGTCCCTGGTCAGGGCATATGCTGGGGTGTGGGCTCAGTCCCCAGTGGGGGTCATTGATAATTCTCTCTCTCCCTCTCTCTGAAATCAATAAAGACATTTAAAAAAAAAAAAAAAAAAGATGCCCTCCCTGTTTTCCATCCCACAATTTTAGCCCTCTCTGGGCAAAGCAGCATTTGGGGGAACTGGTTCCTGTACTGTCTTTATCTCATTTCACAAAATGAACTTCTTCAAAGGAACCGGAAAGGAAGAAGAGGAGGGATTATCCTGCAGGCGCAGGGAGAGGTCTAGAGAAGAGCCTGGTAGATTATCTCTCTCCTGAAAAATGCAACCAGGATCACCAACAAAGTATGGGCTCAAAAATGTGCAGGAGAAAAAGAAAGGAATCAGTGTTGGGGTGGTTGGAGCGGAAGGAGCCAAGCTGCCCAGAATGTATCCTGTGAAGGCTGCGAGGAGCAGATAAGGGCAGCCCCAGCGGCAGGCAGCGCAGAGAGAAGGCAGGGTGAGGGCGGGAACTGCAGATCTACTTGCAGAAACCCAAGGGAGAGTGGGGCTTGCTAGCCAGGCACCTTGGGAGCTTGCTTATCAAAGGCTGTAAAATGGCTGAGCCAGAGGCCCCTGTACCGTTCTTCAGTGATGTTTAGCTCCCTCAAACAGCCTGTAAATCTGACCCTAATAAGGAGAAAATTAAAGAAATGAATCTGGGCAAATAGATAATTAAGGAGAACTGGAGACAGCCAGGTCCTGTGGAGAGCAGGGACTAGGGAGGTGCAGAGGGAACTAATCCTGAAATGAGTCTGAATGATCAGGAAAATCTAAGTCATGGTTTGAGGGGACGGAGAACTGGAGAGACTCCCCCCATTTTATAGGGCCCGGGGAACAAGAACTTTGGATTCCTAGCTTCAGGGGCCTGGAATGATAAACCAGCTTAATTTTGCCCGTTAATGAAGTGATTCTCAAACTGTGGTCCCCTGGTGGGGAAGAGGGGTAGGTAACAATATCATCTAGGAATTTGTTAAATATGCAAATCCTGTTGCCTCACTCTAGACCCGCTGAATTAGAACCGGGGTGGGCCCCAGCAACCTGATTCTGAAGCAAGCTCAAGTTTGAAGACCACTGGTGCAGTGAAAGGGGCTGCTAATTGGTAATAAAGTGTTACCTACGGTCTAATCTTTTACCGCCGGAAGAGGTGACTCTTAGGGTTGTTAAAAAAAAAACAACAGAAAAAACAAAACTAAGGTTGCCCTGGCCAGGTAGCTGTTTGTTAGCGTGTCCATCCCTGGTCAGGTCCCATACAAGAATCAACCAATGAATGCGTCAGTAAGTGGGACAGCAAAGCTCTCTCACTTTCCCTCTTTAAAATCAGTCGAGGGGTGGAACAGGTCATTGGGGAGAAAAGGGACATCTGTAATATTTTAAACAAAAATAAAATTTAAAAATAAAATCAATCGAAAGAAAAAAGAGAGAGAGAAAGAAGAAAGAAAAGAAAAAGAGAAAGAAAGAGAAGGAAGGAAGGAAGGAAGGAAGGAAGGAAGGAAGGAAGNAAAAATAAAATCAATCGAAAGAAAAAAGAGAGAGAAAAAGAAGAAAGAAAAGAAAAAGAGAAAGAAAGAGAAGGAAGGAAGGAAGGAAGGAAGGAAGGAAGGAAGGAAGAAAGAGATTTATTAGCTGATTAGTTATCTACAAGGTTGCAGCAGCTGGCTTCAGTTGACTCTAAAATGGCCCTTTAAACAAATACAAAGAACAAAGATTATATTAGCAACCTAGGAGCAGAAGGGCCAGACTGCTTGGGAAAAAAAACAAAACACACAGCTAGAGGTTTAGGAGGTTTTATTAATATTTAAATTGCAGTGAAACCACAGCTGCAGCCTTTGACCCCAGCACAGAGATATGCAAATACAGCTTTCTAAAGAGAGGAATTGCAGGCAGCCCTCAAGGTACCAAGAACAAATAAAAAATGATTTTGTGATTTATTTTTATTGCCTGATGAAGAGCAAGGCACAGACAACCTGCCCAGTGAGCGTCAGCTACCAGTGGGCTTTCTGAGAGAAGAGAAAGGCAGCCTAGAGGGAGAAAGGTAGGCAGACCTGTGGACTGGTGACAGGAAAGACCCAAATTGGACAAAACAGGAGGCAGATGGGAGGGGACGACTCAATTAAAAGGAAAGGAAAATGGAAACCCAGCCCAGTGTTCTGAGAGCCATCTGATCTTGCTGTCTCTCAGGAAAACAATAATAATAATCATCATCATTAATGACTGTCACTTGCCACACTCCTAAGTGCCATGCACTATTCCCAACATATAAAGGAGGAAAATTATGCCTTAAGAGGTTAAGCAGCTTGCCTGAGGTCACACAATAAAAGGAGTTGCAAAGCCTTGATTCAAAGATTTGTATGAAGCTAAATTGTGCTGAGAACCAGCCCTAGGAGGTGGTGCAGGTGAATAACAATAAGGTCAATGATTGAGGGCAGCCAGCCAGTGTGGCTCAGCGGTTGAGCATCAACCTAGGATCCAGGAGATCACGGTTCGATTCCCGGTGAGGACACATGCCTGGGTTTCAGGCTCCATCCCCAGTCAGAGGTGTGCAGTTGGCAGCAGATCAATGGTGACCCTTCTCATCACTGATGTTTCTCTCTCTCCCTCTCCCTTCCTCTCTCTGAAATCAATAAAGATATATTTTTTTAAAAATGATTGAGGGGAGGATCTGTGCCCAGTTCTGGGGTAGCCTCTGTGTGTGTGTGTGTGTGTGTGTGTGTGTGTGTGTGTGCGCGCGCATACTAGGGTTGTGGAAGGGAGAAAAGATCCATTCCTGGCCTTTAAAGTGCTTGCCATTCAATGGGTTAGGCAAGAAGAGCTACAGAAAACCTTTGCAGAATTGTGCCTTCTGGTTCAGAAGCCCTTTGGGGGCTGTGTGGTGGGGTCAGACTCTGCCTGCTATGGGGGAACTTCTGGGTGGAACTTGGGAATTATTTGGCCAGGTAAAAAGGAAGCCAGGAAGATTCCAAAGGCCCAGGTAAGAACCCCACCTGGCAGAATTGGGGGAAGGAGCACCTGATCCAGAAAGAAAAAATATAAAACAGTCTTCTAAGGATACATTT